TTTTTTTAAAAATGATTTTAATATATATGAGTGTGGTTGTTCTATCCTTGCAGGTCTTTTCCGCAGGTATCCAACTCCATGTGTTTGCAACAAACTTGCCTGTTTATTTTGCAAATCGAGCTCAACAATGCCCCTAGAGTTTGCATGTGTTTTGGAGTTTGCACGTGCTTCGGAGCTCGTACGTGCTTTGAAATTTGTACGTGCTTTGCAGTTTGTAAGTGTTTTGGAGTTTGTTTGTGCTTTGGAGTTTGCATGTGTTTTGGAGTTTGCACGTGCTTTGAAATTTGTACGTGTTTTGCAGTTTGTAAGTGTTTTGGAGTTTGTTTGTGCTTTGGAGTTTGTACGTGTTTTGGAGTTTGCACGTGCTTCGGAGCTCGTACGTGCTTTGCAGTTTGTAAGTGTTTTGGAGTTTGTTTGTGCTTTGGAGTTTGCATGTGTTTTGGAGTTTGCACGTGCTTCGGAGCTCGTACGTGCTTTGAAATTTGTACGTGTTTTGCAGTTTGTAAGTGTTTTGGAGTTTGTACGTGCTTTGTCTCTAGGGGCCACCGTAGTTTTCTCGGTGTCATAATAAAAATTAAAGTTGAACATCAAAAATTTCCCCGATTCGAATCGTGGATTGAATCGATTCGGGACCTTGTGAACCAGAATTGAATCTATTTTTTAAATCAGTGACAATACCCAGCCCTACCTACCCTACCCTACCTACCCTACTTAGAAGCTCCTATCAGCCCCTGCAATCAGTTTATATCTGGGCAAAAAGTGTCATTGACATCAAAAATGTGTTTTTTAAGAGAAATTTAGCCAAGAGGACAGCAGTAATTCTAAGAAATTTAACATCACAGTCCTGTAAACTCGCTTGAAGTGACTAAAAAGGACTGGATTGATGACCATATGGATACAAATAGGCGGAGCCATAAAGATACATTTGTTTAATTTAAACATAACCCCTTCATAAATCTCAACTGCATAGCATAATGCGCTATTTTTTTTTATTTTTTTTTTTGGAAATCAAATACTTTCCTGAAATGTATGGCTTGTTTGTTTTACTGCATCATAGCACATGTACCAGTGACATGTGTCACAGAAGTACAGGTTTTTATATTGGGGAATCATGGAGACATAGATTTTTATGCTGTTACTGAGACTTTGCTGACTGTAGTTATGCTGTAACCCCTGCAACAAGAACAAATAACTTTTTAATGTATGTAATTTATTTTAATGATTATGTTTACTTCAAAAATTCTCCATTACATTACTGGATTTTACTGACAAATTTATTATAATCTGCTGATGTTAGCCTTTGAAACAGGATGTATTTAAACAACTCATGTGACAGACCTTCAAGTACATTAAAGAGAAAAAGAAAAATAATAAGTAGCCATGCCTGTGTGTGGAAAACTACATGAACCGCTGTCAAGTCTGGCTCTATTTTGAAATGTATGCAAAATCCAACACTTCAAACGTGCCTTGCTACTAGTTCCTTGTGGTCTTATTTTTAGTTACATCAATTTTATAAATTGTTGTAGGTTAGAACCAAGCATCTACATCATTTAGAAGCTAGATAAACAAAGTACAACAAATACAAATGTTGATGTTGATGCTTAGAGCAAAAGGACAGGTTTATGCTTCTTGTTTTAGTTTAACAGACCAAAGAGCAGACACAAAGGGACAAAGAACTTGACTTGAGTGTTAAAGTGAAAACAAGCCTTTATTACAGCTGATTACAAGAAACAAAACAAGGCAACATGAGCCGTAGCGAAAACTAGGGATGGGTATTGATAAGATTTTCACAATCCCGATTCCATTTTCGATTCTGTTTAACGATTCGATTCTTTATCGATTCTTTTTTTTAAAAAGGAGAACACTAAGGTCGATTAGCTTAGAACTTTGCTTTATATCTTCTCTTTGAACAAGATAGAAATTTAGGAGTAACATGGCCTTACAAACCCAGCAGTGAGATCTTAAGAGATCCAGCCTATGGCTCTTCAATGGGGTGTCACAGGGTCCCCAGGAAAAAAAACTGTAAATGTAAAGCAATAAAATAAATATTCTCCCATAGCAATAACAAAGTATAACATAAATTATTCAGTAGCAATTACACAAGAATATCCAGTAATGTCCCTGCCTACAATTAAACACATTCACTTACTGAAAATCGGGGCATCTTCTGTGTCAAATGGGTGCAAGCATTTGACCACAAACCTTAGTCACTGCTCGGTGACATTCGTCTATCTTGGCCTGAAAGGAAACGCTAACGGTAGACTGCAGCGACAACTGCTAGCATCTGAGCCAGCCAGACTCTGTCTCTCTCATCATGGTCACCTAAATGCACAGTAATGGCAGGTTTTGTAATAAGGCAGATCGCGCTAACATAATATGCACTGTTAGTATTATTTACCTGCTGCATTAACAGGAGAGGACGTGCAAACGTTACCGCTGCTGCTGGGTTGAGATTCACGAGTCCGGAGCGGAATTAAAAACACGACATTCATTTAAGGTTATCGTGTGTTTCGTGAGCAAATGCTTTTGCATATTCGTAGTGTTTCCTCCCTTAAATGAAGTATCTACTTTGCAAGTATTGCAAGTTGCCCTGTTGTCATCCGTTCTCGTAAAGCATAACCAAACTTTTGAGCGTTTGAGCCGCCATATTTCCTGCCAGGTAAATGACGCTCTGCAACGTGGTGACGTCATTCAGGGCGACTGGAATCGATAAAAATGGCAAACAATTCCAAGGAACTGAAACAGTGAGAACCGGTTCTCAACAAGAACCGGGTTTCGATACCCATCCCTAGTGAAAACTAAACTAAATCCTAAACTGGGAACACTAGAACAGACTATGAACAACTATGAACATGATTTTGCACTGGGGCATGAGAGGAACTACGACATCAATAAACATGAACTAGAAACGTGAACATGCCCAGAACAAAAAAATCATGAAAAAAACTTGACAAGACGAGATGGGTGGTAACACAGACGATCTGACGAAGACTGAAAGAACACACACAGACTAAAATACACATAGGGAAGTTTAGGGGAAGTGAAAACACATGAGAAAACAGCTGACACAATAGACCATAATAACACCACAGGAGAAGTGTAAACTGAGCACACAGAACATGGAAGCAAGATTTTAAAAAATAAAAAGGAAACATGATGTGATGCAGACATGATACTAACTTGACAGCATGAACCAACAAGGGAGACTAAAACACAAGGGGCGATGACACAAAGAAGGACCTGATGAACACAGGACTAAACACTGTGCAATTTAGGAGCTTTAAGATAACTAGATGAACTTAACATAAAGGAATGTCAACTCAAATCCTAACTAATAATACCAACAATAAGTACTAAATAAGAAGTAGAATATAAAAAAATCCACTAAACAAACTGAACACAAAATGCAGGGTCAAAGACCCAGCCTGTGACAACAACTTTGATTTTTGAACAACTCAATAGATTTTTTACAAAATCTTTGAAAAGATGAAGAAAATATTTGCTACATAACATGTTGATGGCATCAGATAACACATTACCATTATCATTTGTCTCACAAGGACTCCAGTAACATAGGTACAGAGAAAGTTAAGATTGCATAAATGTTTGAATGTCAAAGCATTTCAGTAGAGATTAGCTAATGTGCTGTATGTAACTTCTGTTTCTTTTCCTTCAGCCTGTTGGGGAATAGAAACAAATCTGACAATTAGGAATAAAAGCAAAGAAAAATGTGACCAAATTAAAAGGAAACAAAGGAAGTGAGAAACGGTGTGTGGTTGGTTTCAGGTCTTTTAATATTTACCCTTTTATTACGCTGTTTCTCAACAACAGAACTATACACGAGTTCCATGTCACTTTCAGCAAATGAACTCTGAAAAATGAAAAGTAGAAACTGAGCACTTTACACTTCTGCTGTGCTTTAAGTAAAAAAAAGAAGAAGCCTACTTGTATTCCTAAGATAAACGTGTATTTGTACCATGTTAGGATTACCTCAGGTGATTTTTCCCACATTTCCATGACTGGAGCAGACTTTTCTGCTACTGTAGCACTCTCACTTTTGTAAGTGCAGGGTGTCAGTGTTGTTGACAAAATATCAGTATTCAAAAAAATTAAAAGAGATAAAGGTTTGACTTATCAGAAGCAAAATACAGCTTTTTTACTTATGATCTAATTTCTTCTGATAGCTGCCGTTGTATTTTTCAAGTTATAAAAACACACAAGAACAGTTTACCCTATGAGGATTGATTTTTCTCAGACATATTAGAAATGAATCTGTAATAGTTTACACATCTAATGTACTGTCAGATGACCGAAATGTTTAATGAAAATTCTTAAATTTAATTGCTTGATACTGCTGTAGTTGGTTACCTTGGGTAAACGTTTTTTCTTGGTTCTAACTTCAGAGTATGTTACTTCCTCTCCAACCTGCATTGAAGAACATAACACAAGTAAAACATCAGTAAACTGTCATTATGAAAGTTTGCCCTGTGATGTACTTTTCCTATTTTTTTTAGTATCATGTACCAATACCCAGAAGGGGAAAAACAGTCAGTATAACTTACCATTGCTGTGGCTGATGATTCTGCTTTGCTCTGTTCTAGTAAAATAAAACTGCTGTTATTAACTCTGTGTATGATGCAGAATAACCTAAATATTCATTTCATTTTAAAGATTTCCTAGTAAATTTTCCACAGATCTAAATCAAAGTTCAGTGAGACTTACTGTGTCTGAGTATAAACCAGATGAACAGCACCACAATTACGATCACGATCAAAACACTTAGAGGGATGATGAGGATCTTTGGAGGAAATGAAGCTCTGCAACATGCAGTTCAAAAAAAGATAATTTGCTTTATTTAGTCCGTAAAAAAACAAAACAAAATAAAAAATCATTATACAGACTCCCTTAAAAAGTATAGTATTACTAAATGCTGCATATAAAAAAATAACTAAATCTGACCTGTGTTGTCTATTTTGTACTATTGTAAAATTATTCCATTGCTCCATTGTAGTAACTTTTCCATTTCCATTAACAGTGTGAATAGTAATACCAGTAGTAGTAGGGGTGGTGGCTATAATTCAAAAAAGAACATCATCAGCAGAGTACTGTAACAATGACTGTCTTAATATCTCTTAGAGTACTAACATTTACAATGGATGTGATTCACATACATGTAGAATTTATAATTTGCAGTACTTACTAGTGTTCTCAGTAACAGTTAAATATACTGGTATCTGAATGTCGCCTTTAGCACACCAATACCAGCCACTGTCCTTCGTCCCTAGTCCACTCATGGTCACTGTGAAAACATTTGGTTCGCTAATATGAGCGGTCACTGTTGTTCCATCTATAGATCCAGATGATCCTGTCACACAGTTCCTGCCCAGCCTGCACCACTTCATTTCTCCAGAGTTACTGTGGTGACATCTGATGGTTATGTTTTCTCCAATATATCCTGTAATCCTCTGATGATCCACATAGAGACTGGGAGTACCTTAAGGTAAAATGAATACAAAAATGGAAACAATGGATTAATGATAAAATAATGGGTAATTCTGACTTCATATCGATTCTCATTAGGTTTAAATGACAAATAAAAGCACATTCAGTCACTGTTAAAAATATTCTAAGAAAAACTCAAATTTTTTAAGAAAAAAAATTTGGAGTATAAAAATAGGCACTTACCATTGGTAACTAACAGCTGAAAATACACTCCATTATCTAGTGCTGTATTCTTCAGTCCACACCAGTAATGAGTGTTTTGATTTGTCAGATGGTTTATAGTCACAGTGAAAATTTGCTCTTTTTTGTCATCAGAGATTAAATATTTTCCTAAAGGGTCTGCTTCATTTGTTTTCACTGCATATTTGCAGAATCTCCAATAATATCCTTCACACAAGTACTTCACATGGTCTCTGTATTGGTAGTGATAGAAACATGGGATGGAGATAGATTTTCCAGCTTTTACTGAAACTTTACTGACTACAGTTGTGCTGTGAACTCCTGCAAAAAGAACAAAGTGTTTTGATGGTTATGTTTACGTAATACATTCTTTGTTTACTTATCTTGCACAACTATGTTGCACATGTAGAAACATTACAGTATTGTCAAGTATAAAACTGAATAATACAAAAATAAATAAATAAATAACAGTCATTAATTTTTTCATCTGCTGACATTAACCTTTGAAAAATGAGGTCACCAACCTGTTTGCACACTGAAGAGGAAAAGAACGATGAGATGAGCAGCCATGGCTGTGAGTGGAATTAGACATGGTCAAGTCTGCATCTATTTTTGAATTAATGCAACATGCAAATGCAACAGTCCTTCCTTCCTCCTAATTCCTCTACTATCAGATGTTATTTTTTATTTTTATCTTTTGCTGTAGAGTAGGTATAGAAATTACCATCGACAACATTTAAAAGCTTTTGTCAGTACGGGGACGCACGGATTCGCCCGTGTTGCGTGCTGACTAGACGCGGCAAAGACCTGGCGATGGGTTGGAAGATGCACACAGTTTAATTTAGTAACACCAAGAGCGCAAACCGCGGATTCGGACAGAAATCGGTGTTATGAACGGAGCGGGAACATGACCGGGATGGCTGAATGCAAAGAGACACAGTACTTACGAAACCTACGGTGAAGGAAGGCTGACGATCAGAAGGTAGCCGAGCTCCTGACACGAAAGTAAGGACGTCTGAGCGAAGAACAGGTGGGTGGGTCTTACTTTTAAAGCCAATCTCCGCGGTCTCCCGACCACTACTTGACAACTTTATGGACTCATTTACTTATTGCCACAAAAAAACATTAATATGCATTCCCATAATATTGAATAACACTGACAGTACATGAGTGAAATTTAAAAAGAAAAAAAAGGTAAACAAGTGCTGTGAGTTCTCATAAATCCTGAAACTAGAGGTCAGGATTATCCATTGATGTTGATGCTTTTGATGCTTCTTTATTTCATTTAAACCAGGCATCGTGTCAATGATGTTAAAGACAGCCAAACGTAACAAAGAACTGTGCAATAAAGCTGTATGTTTTTAAGAATAAAGCACAAGGGTTTTATAATGTTGTTATATACAGGAGATTAAAATAGGCTACAAGATGATGTGAGCACACAACATGCTGCAGCAGTGAGTGACAAAGAGTCCAATAACATAGATATGGATAAAAAAGCAACTATAGGTTTAGTATTAAAAAAAATGTGTGGTGATTAGCTAAAGTGTGTTTCTGTGACCGTTTTTCACCCTGTTGTAGAACATAACAAATATGACAATTGAGAAGGAAAAGCAACAAAAAGGTGATTAAATCACAATGGAAACATGACATTCTGGGACAACAAGCAAATGAAGGAAACACAGGACGGAAGAAACAGTTTGATTTGTTTTTACTTCTTTTACTATTTGACAATTTCATATCTTTTATGATTAAAACTTAACTGCACATGCTGTCCACATCACTGACTAAATGACCTGCATGTCAGAATAGAAATTGAATGCTTTACACTTCGAGGCATTTTAAATAGTTTTATTATTCTGCACTTTGGGGGAAAAGTGTGCTGGTATTTTTAAATACAAAGACATAGTTGTATTATATTGGGGATAACTGAGAATACTTTAAACCAGTTTATGTTATGTTACTTCCTCTTCCTGTCTCGAATGTGAAAATGTAAATTACAGAAAGCCTGATCTCATCACAACACATCACTAATGACTGTCCTAATATGTCAAATTTTTAATAGTCACACTGAAGGTTTTTTGGTGTTTGTCATCACACATTTTTATAATCATTAGTTTTGTCATCTGCTGGCAGTAGCTTGTGAAACATGAAGTATTTAAATGATTCCTGTGATGACCTTTGAGTACACTAAAGATGAGCAGAACAGTGAGGTGGGCAGGCATGTTTGTGAGTGAACAGAGAAACACTTGATTCTATTTCCTAATTTAAGTAAAGATGCAACACTTCCGCTTGAGACCTCTGTTCTCATCTCCTTTTATAGATGTTCGGTGGAGAGTAGTGATGGTAAATTTGTATGGGCAGAAATCTGTGCCATCAGAAACTGAATTTGAATAAGTTAAATTTGAATTTGAATTGCTCAGATTGAATCTGAATTGTAACTTGAATAA